ACAGTTCTTTATCAGATATGTATTTTACAAATATTTTCTCCCATCTTTAGCTTGTCTTCTCTTTATCAATTATTTCTCTCTTGGATTATGCCTTTGATGCTGTATTTTAAAAGTCACTGCCAAGCCAAAGTTCATATATATTTTCTCATATGTTTTCACCCAAGAGTTTTATACTTTTGCATATTACATTTATGTCTATGATCCATTTTGAGTTAATTTTTGTGATAATATGAGAGTTGTCTCTAGATTCTTGTTTTTGCATGTAGATGGCCGGTCATTTTAGCACCATTTGTTAAAAAAATAGTCTTTGCTCTTTTGTCAAAGATCAGTTGACTTTATTTATGTTGAATCTGTTTCTGGGCTCTTTGTTCTGTTATATTGACCTATTTGTCTATTCTTTCACCAGTAAACTATGCTATCTTAATTCCTGCAATTTTATGGTAAATCTTGGCATTAGGTAATATTAGTTTTGCAATTTTATTCTTCTGGTTTGATATTGCATTAGCTATTCTGGTCTTTTGCCAGTCCCTATAAACTTTAGAATCATTCTGTTTATATCCACAAAATAATTTGCTTGGTTTTTAATTGGGATTGTGTTGAGTCTACATATCAAGTTGAGAAAAACTGACATTTCAACAATTTGAGCTTTCTTATTCAGAAATGGAATATCTCCCCACTTGTTTAGTTCTTTCATAGAAGTTTTTTAGTTTTCTTCATATATGTTGTGTGCATATTCTATTAGATTTATATCCAAATATTTTATTTTGAGGAGTACTAACATAAGTGGTATTGTGTTTCAATTTCAAATTCTAATTATTCATTACTGATGCATAGGAAAATGGCTGCCTTTTGCATATTAACCTGGTGTCCTACAACTTTGTTATTCTTATTTATTAGTTCCGTGAAGTTTTTAAAAAATTCTTTCAGGTTTTCTTCTGCAAAGACAATTTTACTCCTTTCTTCCTAATCTGTATACCTTTAATTTTATTTTCTCACTTTATTGCATCATCCAGGACTTCCAGTGTAAAGTTGAAAGTGAGTGTGGGAGGGAACATCCTTGCCTTGTTCTTGATTTTAGCAGGACAGCTTCTTAAGTTTCTTACTGATAAATATGATGTTAACTGTAGGTTTTTTTCCACAGACATTTTTTTTATCAAGTTTAAGGAAATTCCCCTGTATTCCTTGCTTATTGAGAGTTTTTATTATGAATGTGTGTTGGATTTGGTCAAATGGTTTTTCTGCATGTACTGATGTGATCATGTGAATGTTCTCCTTTAGTCTATTAATATGATGGGTTACATTAACTTATCTTTGAATGTTGAATCAGCCTTACATACCTGGAATAAATTCCTCTTAGTGTAATATATAATTCTTTATACATATTGTTGGATTTTGCTAATATTTTTGTTGAGGATTTTTTAATCTCTTATTTCATGAGAGATGTTTGTCTGTTGTTTTCATATAATATCTTTGTCTGCTTTTGGCATTAGGATAATTCTGGTCTCATAGAGTGAGTTAGGAAATAATCTCTCTGATTCTATCTTCTGGAAGAGCATCTGCTCAGCTACTGGTAAGGGCCTTGTGCTGCTTCAACACATGGCAGAAACCAGGATAAGTAGGCACATGTGCAAAAGAAAAAAGGGACCAAACTCCTATGGCTGCTAGGCCATTCCCATGAGAAAGGTTTTAATCCATGCATGAGGGCTCCATTCCCATGAACCAGACTTCCCACTGGGCCCAATCTCCTAATACCTAAATTTTGGGCAGAATACACTCAGCCCATAACTTTTCACTTTTGACCTCATCCCAAATTCACATTCTTCTCACAATGAAAAAAAAATTAATTCCATCCTTATAGTCCTAAAGTGTTAACTAGTCCCAACTTCAAAGTCCAAAGTCTTATCTGAAACTCAAGATGAACTCCTTCTAACTTTAAGCCTCTAAGATACTTTGGCAAGACAGGCATAGGGTAGACATTCCTGTTCGAAAAAGGAGAAATAGGATATATGGAAGGGGGGATCAACCTCAAGCAAATCCAAAACATTAAATCTTGAAACACCAGAATTGTCTTTCACTCCATGCACAGTCTCCCGGACATACTGGGGTAGGGGATGGGCTCCCAAAGTCCTAGGCAGCTCTGGCCCCACAGCTTGGCAGAGCTCAGCCCACATGGCTGCTCTCCCAGGTTGGAAATGCATAGATGCTTGAGTGGCATGCTGCCAGTGGCCCAACTATTTTGTGATCCCAGCACATGTCCCACTCCCACAGATGTATTAGGTTGAAGCTCTGTGGTGGCTTCTTCCCTATGCAGGTTTCTGCCATAGAAACTCTGTGGTGGCTCCCAGGCGGCTCAATATATTCTTTGAAATCTAGATGGGGGCCTTCATACCTCTATAGCTCTTGCATATTTTATACACTGGGTATGCTATATTATGCCTTCCAATTTTTATTCTTCTATCAAATTGATTATTAAAAGATCATGAAAATTTTTTGATACTACATACTACTTTACTAAGATTACTCTGAAATGTTCACATTTTTCTGTTTCCAGCTGAAATTAATATGTACTAAGAATAACAGAGTAGATATTTCATCTACGCTCTCAAATAACTTACGTTATGAATTCTGACCCTTATAGACAGATTTTTATTTATAGTGCCAACAAAAGAATGTATCTAGTTTCTGGTCCTGCTCTAGGCAATTTGGCCATCACTTGCATCAGAATCACCTTGTGCAATTATTAAAAATGCAGATTCTTAGCATCCACATATCACTTGATAGATAAGACTCTATTCTGGTGCTGCCTGGATATCTAGAGTTTTAACAAGATCCCCAGAGATTCTTATGACCAGAAACTTGAGAATCAGTATGGAGGGAAAGGAGGCTCACCTTCTTAAAGGAGTATCCAACAAAAGCCAACCCTAGTCTCCTGGGTTAAGGAGAGTGAAGGGCTTGGGAAAGCAATTACTTCCATTAAACAATTACTCCATTCCTTCCTATCATTGCTTTGATATTCTTCAAGGTACATATGCACAAACAAGGAGAAATTAGAAATAGTCCATAACCTTTCTCCAACCTAGATCAGGCTATTTTCAGATTTTGGGGTGGTTCAAGTAAGTTAGCGCTGTTACTTTCATGAAATAGTTGAACTATTCATGGGCAGCATTACTAAAAATTAGGCTTTGGAATTTATCAGGGATTCCTGCCACAATGAGAAAGTGCAAAGAATCGGAAGAGAGATCTGAAGGCACCAAGTCCCTGACTTTAATTCCACGGAAGAAACACAGTGAATGCAGAGCAAAACAATACTCCAGGCCCAGCCCTCATTGAGTGGCTCCATACTGCCGCTGAAGTTATTACTAATGCAGAAGTTTCTCAAAGAGTAACAAAAAGGGCTTATCAAATAATAAACATGATTTTAAAATTCATTTTGCATCCTACTAAATTCTAAAAATGATTGTAATACAAATATTAGAATTAAATCAAATCCTCATCAGGAGGTTGAGATTTTTCGTTTTTTAAAAGCCACAAGAACTACAAAAAGAACTTACACCTTTGCAGAACCTCACATTTCAACGCCTGGAGTCATTATTGTAAATAGAAGATTTCAGTGTCTCAAAACCACCTTCATTAAGCCTTTAAAATCAGCAATTTAAAAATCAGTTTCCTTAGAAAAGTTTGCGTTGAGAAAACCTTTATTATACATTATTGAACTCATTTCTATTTGAACAATAATACATAAAACAAATATTCATGTTGTGAAAATCCGAAAGTACCAATCGATGGTCTACAAGGAATAGAGAATAGTTTTTTATATTTTTAAGGCACACATTTCTCACTTGTTTTTTAAATTTTGAGCATAATTATTGTCCAACATATTTTCTGCATGACTTATAGAAAATTATTCCATAAAATCACAACTCCTGGCCCCAAATTGCCTTACCATGAGACTGAATGTGCCTAGGAAAGGCACAGTACATAAAAGTTTTCATAAGGCCACTTAAGTACCAATAACATAATCTTTATTTAATATACAATTGGTATTTGGTTTCATTTTCATTTTATGTATAGAAACTCTTTCGACTTTGTACTTTAACACTGACAGAAAAGAAAAAAAAAACTTGTAAATGAATATTAAAATACCTATTCTCCAGAACTAAAAGTAGAATTGATAATTGTCTTTCAGAAACAAATATATCACACTGTTAGCTGGTGATGGTTGTTTCATTCTTGTTCAGTCCTTAAAAGAAGATTTTTAAATACAGTGATCAGTGGATATACAGCAACCATCCTCACTCCCTCAGGGATGGACACTGAGTTGTCCAAGGTCACTGTCAAACCAGGGATTGCTTTTCATTGAGGACACAATTCATACAGGCAGAGTAAAGAGGGGCACAGAGAACACATTCAAACATTATGACAAAATAAATAAGAAAGAACAATAATCCAATAGCTTCCCTCATCAAAATTACTCTTTAAAAATAAACCCAGTATAAAGCAGCAAGGACATTAAGTATTATTTTTAAAATACAAAAAGTTCTTGGTGAGCTATAGCTATAATTAGCTTAAAATAATAGTATTTGAACATACTGCACCTGATCTCAAAATATTCAAATAGTCTCTTTTTTTATGATTTCTCACAATAACTTTATTGTCTAAATCTTTGAGTTCTCTTCCTTACATAAAATGTCTCTTAATTCGGCTACATATTATATTTTCCTCTAGAACACGGATAAACCCAATAGCTACTTTTTACAACAGCAGAATAAAGATACTGAAGATTCCTCTTCTAATCTGTATTTTCCAGAATTGGGTAAGTCCTTGCATTCTGATATAAAGGTATGAAGTTCAGTCTCTGGGAATCCATGCTGCTGGTAGTGCTATGCAGAAGAAGGGAAAAGCTCTCATTAGTAAAGCCCTTAAAAACAGCTTTATTCCAAATACAAAATGGACCATTTGATAAGGGCAGGGATTTTCCTAGAGGGGCAGTGTAGCTTTGGGAGAGGCAGCCTCTGGAGGCCCCCCTGGGTTTGGCTGATGTAAAGTAGACCTGGGACTCTGCAGCTGCCTTCCTCAGCTCTGCTCTTCCCAGTCCACTTCAGCCCACAATGAGCATGTGGAGTCTGGCTAGGCATCTGTCTCCCTCCTGGAGAGACTCCAGTCAGCCACATGTAAAACCTGGGACCCTCTGTCACTGCTGCAGCCCCTTGGCTTCTATGTCTGTGTGAAGGAAGTTTCTTGGATGAAACCCAACTAATATAGATTGGTAGAGGTGTTTTGGGGGGCTGAGGGGTGGACATCCCTGGTCTTCCCCCAGATGACCTCAGCTCACAGCTTTTGACACTCCTGAGCTGGTGCAGGTTTCTGGACAAAGGTCTGATTGCCTTATAAGGCACCTGTGAACCCTTTTGGAGTTACTCCTTCAGGCAGACAGGTTTGTTTAAGGGCCACATAAGCATCGAAGTATAGGGTATGAGATCTTTAGGATTCCCTGAACAGAAAGGATCCAAAATAACTCGACCATTTTGCAAGTTCTCTGAGCCCTAGGAGAGAGGGTAACATCTGAAATGTTACAATGTATAATGTTACAATGATTAGCTTGAGTCATCAAACTGTTACTCTTAGCCTTCTGGGATGTCACCTTTGAATGACACAGTTCTCTGCACACAGAGTTGAAGATACTGAATTTTAAAAGCCCCATGGGGAAGTATTTGACAGTTACATCTGCAATCTTTCCCAGTCATTTTGGGGGACCAAAGCACACATCTGCCAAACAAGAATCGAAGAGAGCATTTCTTGACCTGAAAGTTGGTCAAGAATGTAGTCATGGCTCAGTCTTCACAAGCAAGGTGATCATAATTATCAACTCCAAATCAGCCTTCTTTTCATCCCTGGGCCAATCATATTTCCATCTTTTCATTCTCAGAAAGAGAAGTCCCCAAGGGGAAGTGTCAATTCCAATAATAGACTTAACAGTATAAAGTTATTAGAAATTTAAATATATAAGGATATTTATTCTACTGTTCCATATTTTAAGGGACTCAAATGGATTTTTTAAAATATCCAATATGAATGATAATAACTTTTAAAATCAGGTTTCTGACTGGATAAAGCACCGAGTACTTGCCATAATCCCTTTGCTGCTCCAGAGGTTGAGCCCCTGGGGGTGTGCCCCAAAGAGCATTGCAAAGAGTAGTGGATTCAGTTACAGCACACACCAAATGGAGAGCTCAGTTTTTCTTTATGAAAATCGATTTTTAAAGTTTCCCACACAATTCTGGCTTTCTGCAATTCCAGATATTTTACTCACCCAATACTGATCCTTATAATTCTAATAAAATGTTAGAAAAGTTGCTTGTGAAAGCACAGTTACTTAAAGACAAGACTTAACATTCTGGAAATCCTATGCTTTCAGTTCTGTTTTTGCCTCTAAAATTAAGACCTTGTCTACCCTGAAGAAATTAACATCCATCAACTTTCTTTCTTTCTTTCTTTGGTCCTAAGTGTTATTGTCACCATACAAAATCCAGAAGAATGTCACCATACAAAATACCATATGGCTCTTGGTAAACCTTACCTTAATCGTTTCATATGTATCTGTGATCAGCGCAATAAAAAGGCTTAAAATCATGTATATAAAGAGGCTGATGAACGAGTAGAGGTAAATTCTACTAAACATCCAGACCAAGTAACTTTTTTCCTGCATTTTTGCAAATGTGGCAAACATATCATCTCCATTTATCAGGGAGAAAAGGCACTCAGAAACCCTGTTCAGAGAACGGAACTGGAAAAAGAAAAAGAGAAAAATTCATTTTATTCCACATTCCTTCCCATTGGAGACCTGTGTTCAGGATGTTACTTTAAAAATAATGGGGCCAGATATTCCAAGTTACCCTTTTCAAACAAATAACCTGAGGTAGTCACAGCATTTGCTTTGTGATGTATATACCACACACAGACCTATTGCTTTTTTTTTTTTCCCCCTTCTGGAATAAGCTGCCCTTTTTTGGTGCTCCTCTTAATTGGAGCAATCTGAATGGAAGGCAGAAGTACCAAATCTGTACCCATGGGGCCTTTCTAAGATAAGTCTTCCTCTTCCTCTTTACCTTCATAGAAAGAGACCCTGGCATTCTGCAGAGATGTCTGGATCCCAACCATGCACGTGTGTATGTTTCATTTTAAAGCTCATTCCATTTAAGGTAAGATATAATTTTCAGGACTACACCTCTGGTAACAAAAGTTTCAAATATTGCTACCAATTTCTCTATATACAACTTAAAAAAATAAAGTCACATTTTAAGAAGGTTTAGCCATGTCCTTCTCTGATATATGCTGATGAATCAAATTGACTAAAATTTGCTGATAGTAGAAAGAACTTAATAATTGACATATTCCAAACAGAATTCGGGACAGTTGAGTGAATCAATGATTCTCTCAAGTTGGTCACACTTTTCTAGCTTATAAATATGGCAACAGATATACTACCTTCTACATGTTAAGGCTGAATCACAAAAGAAGTTCCTTTATAAAGGATAAACAAGCCCTTGGCCCCATTCTAAGAGCTTAGTAACAACAACAGTAAAAATGTGGTTCATCAGTACCTTGTCGTGGTAAGGGCCCAGCACAATCCATCCACAGAAGCAATAGCCTAAATAAATCATAGCTGCACAGCAGCAAAACCTGATGACATTGGGCAACGCTGCCTGAAGGGTCAGAATAAGGAGCTGGGAAAGTGAGACAAGTCATTAGAATCCCCTTGTCGTTGGTCCAAAGCAGAACAATAACTTTGAAACAAATGCCAACGGCATGGCGAATCATGCACTTCCTTACATTGTACTTCTGGAAGAAACCGAGGTACCGGATGACTCCAAGCCACACGAGCAAGGTAGAAGTCCCAAGAAATATGCTACAGACATCATAACTTGTTAGACTCTAAGATGGAGTGGGAAAAAACATAGTCAAACAGCAAAGTCATCTGGGCAAGAAATATTGGTTGGCGTTCTAGATGGGGCAGGGGGAGGCTGGGTGTTCAGAGAGATAGCTGGTGGTAAAGGCTGAGAAGAAAAGTCAGGGAGGGGGTGCAGAATGGGGACAGTTTCATAATTTGAAATAGAGTAACCAGGGATGATCTCAATGAAAAGGTAGCACAAGGGCAAATATCTAGAAGGAATGAGGAAGCTAGTCAAGCAAAAATCTTGGGGAGGAGATTTCCAGGCAGAGGAACCAACCAGTACAAAGTTCCTGAGGCAGGAGGGAGCCTGGTGAGAGAGGGAGCAACTGATAGAATATGGAGACACAAGGTAAGGATAGCATAGGTCCTCATAGTCAAATGTCTGCTGTGGTTGACAGCAGATGGTTAGAGGAGGAATAGCGGGGGCTATTGCAGTAACAGCTAAGAACTGGTGATGGCTGAGACCAGGCTGGGAATAGTGGTGGGGGTGAGGTGATTTTTAAAAGTAGACCAATATTGTTTCCTCTTGGCTTACATGAGTGAGAGAGGGAATCAGTGAAAGAGGAATTCTTGATGAATTTATGGTTTTTGGCTTGAGCAACTGAAGAGAGTTGACATTAACTGGAATTAGAAAGGCCACGGAAGAGGCAGGTCTGGACTGTGGAGGTGGGGATTCTACTTCTGTTTCAGGTGAGTTAAATTTGGGAGGACAAGTAAACATCCAAGTGGAGATGTGGCCTACCCATTTGGATTCTCAGGTCTGGAATCTAGAGAATTCTAAGCTGGAGATATACATTTGGGAACATTAGCTAATGGATACTAGAAGATATTACCAAGGTAGTGGCAGAAAAGAGAAGGTATGTAAGCACAACACCTTGAAGGTTGGCAAGGTGAAGGAGAACCAGCAAGGGATAGTCTGAATACCAGTCAGTGACTCAGGAGGAAAGCCAGGTAAGTGACAGCCTTGTGAAAAAGTGCCACCAAAGACAGAATGATCAGTAGTGTTAAAAGTTGCTGACAGGTCAAGATGGGGATAAATAATTGATTCATGGACTTAGCAACAGGGGAGATCATTGGAAGAAAGACTCCATAGAGTGGCAGGGCAGCCTGATCAGAATAGATATAAGGAGGGGCTGGGGATGTGGCTCAAACAGTAGCGTGCTCGCCTGGCCCTAGTTGAATCCTCAGCACCACATACATACGAGGATGTTGTTTCTGCCGAAAACTAAAAAGTAAATATTAAAAAATTCTCTCTAAAAAAAATTTAAAAAAAGAATATATATAAGGAGAAAGGGAAGGAAAAGAACTATAGCAATGAGATTACTACTTTTTTGAGGATCTTTCCTATAAAAAGGGAATCTGAGAAATGGGGCAGAAGCTGGAATAGAGAAATAAAGCTGAGATTTTATCCCTTTTGAAAGGAGAAACATGCTAGAGGACGACTACCTGGGAGAGAGAGGGAAATTGATGATTCAGAGAGAAGGAAGACTAGCTGGAGCTGTGTCCTTGAGTAAGTGAGTGGGGAGGGCACCTATTATTCACAGGAAAGAGGAAAAAAACCAGAAGGTATAGGCACTCATGCTTATAGGTAGGTAAGGGATGTGGGAGTCTGCCAAAGTTCTGTTTTGTTTTCCCCTCTTGGTCTTGTAAAATAAGAAGTAAGGTCATTAGCTGAGAGTGAGGGTGGGGTCAGAGGTTTCAGAAGAGAAGGAATGATCATCTGTGAGACAGGAGGAATGAATAGTCTAGGAAAATGGAGAAAGTTTATTGGACACCAATAAGGACTCATGGAGATGAGTGATCATTGAGTTTGGTAAAAATAAAAATATACTGCAAATCTACCACTCCTTTTTCTTTCTTTCTTTTTTATCTACTTCCTAAGCACATGCCCTAGGATCCCTTGCAGTGCAGTTTGACTGTGTCTCCAGTAAAGATATGAAAAGAAATGAGGTTTACTACCCTTGAACCAAGGCTATAAAACAGGGGAAAGCTTCCACCCTTACCTTGGTGAATGTATATTTGGGGATAGTTTCACTTCCCAGAGGCCACCCGTTTGTGAGGTGACCCAGTGTGGATCATGTAGTCAGGCTGAGCCTTAGGGATGGCAAAAAAACAAAATGGGAGAAACTTGGGTTCTTGAATGACAGCAGGGAGCTGAGCTACTTGCCATCCTAGAATACCCACCCTGACTATTACTAAGAGAGAAATAAGCTCCTCTTTGATCAGAGCCATTGCAATTATGGTCCCTGCCCAGGCTCATCACTGGCTCCCTTTGTGACTCAGAGTCATAATTAGTTGCACCAAGGCTAGAAAAATGTAAGATTGAGCAAGACTATTTTGAACAATATTAGTTTTTTAATTTGGTTTTACTTGGGGGAAGAATTTCTTTCAGAGCTAGGTTAATCATAACTTAAAAAGGATAATCTTGGAGCACATCAATGGAAAAAGCAAGTAAACGAGAGTATTTTCTGAATGATAAGAAACAAATGCAAGCACCATACCATAGTACCTTGACCTTACTCTGCCCTCTAACCCATTCTTTTAATGTTGAGGATTTTAATATATTTTGTAAGATTTTTTTTAAAACTCTCACCATTATTATTTTGGTGTGTGTATGAATTTTGTTGTGTGTAAGAATTTACAGACCCCTCCTGTGAGTTCAGATTCAGAAGGTCTAACAGGGCATTTTTACTGGGCATCCATGATTTTGACCCAGTGGCTTATGGATTATCCTCCAAAAACATCTGCCTACGAGACTTCCTGACTAGAGTAAAGAAAATTACTGTTATCAATTTCAACTTTACTCAACATAAAACTTGGAAGAAATTATTGCCCAGTGGTGGTACCATCTGTAATCCCAGCAGCTGGCGAAGCTGAGGTGGGAGAATCAAAATTCAAAGCTACCCTGAGGAATTTATCGAGGCCCTAAGCAACTCAGCAAGACCCTATCTCTAAATAAAATATATATATTTTCTAAATAAAATATTTTTAAAAGGTGGGGATGTGGCTCAGTGTCTAAACACCCCTGGGTTCAATCCCTGATACCAAAAAAAATACACAGAGAGAGGGTGGGGGAGGGAGAGAGAGAGAGAGAATGAATTCTCACATTCTGCAAAAATATATTATCATTAATCCAAATCAGATACTAATGATGGAAATGTCACAAATCATTAGGAAAAATATTTACCTTAGCTTGGATTTCCATTTTCAGAATTGATCCAATGATTGTCAGCATGTCACTAATGATAATCATAATGTACCATCCATTGACAAATTCCATTTGATCAGAAACAGAAACTTCCTTCTTATAATGGAAGAGGAAAAAACTGACAAATTCCTTTAGAGGAAAGAAGAGAGGTACAGTGAATTTCCCTGTCTATCAAAATGCTATCTGCATTCCCAGAAAGCATCAGCTCCTACCTGTTGAAGCTGAAGTCCTCTAACCACAGACCTGAAGCAGAGGAGTAACGAAGACAAGCAAGTCAGAATGACAGCGGCGTCAAAGATCATCATGTAATGAGTGTTCTTCTGAACTAGAAGCAAAGAGCATACGTAGTTTGTATGTGGTAAGACATTAAGATGGTGGCATCTACTTCTTTTTCAGAATCATTCAGAAAATTCCAACTTTCGTTCCAGAAAGACAACAACAACAACAAAAAAGAAGACTTGACATTCTTCCAACCAGCATTTAACTAAGATTGAAAGCCCTTCTTTGGAAAATCACCATGGCCATCAATCAAATAAAATTATCAGCTTGTGATCTTTTGTTCTAAATAGAATTATCCTTCCCGCACCTCCTATTAACAGCTATTTATCTGGGTGTAAATATTCCTTAAGTACCCACTATTCATTTGCCATTTTCTAGAGTTTGGGCCACAGTAACAGACCAGATAGACAAGACTCCTGGTTTTCTGGAGTTTCTGTTCTACTGCAGTGAGACAAGTTAAGGAGTAAATAAGTCCATGGACAAAATACTTTCAGATAGAAGTCAGGGATATAGACCAAATAAATCACAATAGCTGATATGTAATGAGCACATTTCTTGACATAGCACCAAGTCCTTTATATGTTTATTTTGGTTTTTTGTTTGTTTGTATTGTTCTGTTTTGTTTTTGTGGTGCTGGGGATTGAACCCAGGGCCTTGTGCAAGTTACATAATTTGCCCAAGGTGATGTAAGTAGCAAAGTCAGGGTTTAAACCTCTGTGGGCTGTTTCCAGCACCTGTCACTCTATATTGTTAGTTCTTAGCATCCCTAGGGGACTTGTTAGAAATGCACCTCAGAAACTCTATGGCTCTTCACATCCTCTAGGTGATGCTAATATTTGAGAACCACTGTAGTGTGTGGAGCGGTTGAGGTGGGAGAATGGGGAGGAGTTCTGTGTATATTGCATAGTAAGAAGTCTCACCTAGGGGGCAGTAAGTTTTAGCTGATACCTGAGTGATAAGAAAGGGTCACCCACTCAGAGCTTTTGGAGAATCAAAAGTACAAAGTTGCTAGACATGGTGACATATGCCTGTAATCCCAGTGACTCAGGAGATTGAGTCAGGAGGATCAAAAGGCCAGCCTGTGCATCTCAGCAAGACTCTTCCTTGAAAAAAACAAAAAGGGCTTGGAAGGTAACTCAGTGGTAGAGTGCTTGCCTACCATGTGTGAGGCCTTGGATTCAGTCCTTAGTACCATAAAAGAAAAGGTTTAAAATCTGGCTACATGAGTAGAATCAATGAAGAGAGATGGACAAAGGCCTCAGCTCTGCTACAGAACTTATTTCTAGCCAGTTAGACTGCTCTATACTGATACAAAGATAAAGTACTTAAGACTAGTTTTTTCTTGAGGCCCCTTTTTTGCCTTGGGGCCCTTAGGGGTTCCCCATTTTTTTCTTTTCCTTTGGAAAACTTTCAAACCCAGGAATTAACCTTTGGGGGTAGGCTTTTTTGCCGGTTCTTTTCTTTTCTTTTATTTTTCCTTTTTTTAAATTTTTTGGAAAAAAAAGAGAAAGGATTATGGTGTTTACAGATGACAAAACAGGTTTGTCTTTGAAATAAACAACTTTGTGATTGAAATAAAGTTTGTGATTCAAGAGCCTCATACATTCAAAGTTGCCTGTCAGTACAAAAAAAAATTACAATGCAGAAATTTCTTTTCATTTACTCATATTATATCATTATTACTTTTAAACTTGGTAAATCAATTAGTAGGAACCCCTAAAGCAGTAATTATCCAAATACGGTCTGAGCAAGGATTACTACCCATTCCTAGGTGCCTACTAACTGTCCTTTGAGGAGCTGGGGAACTACTGCTTAGCAGATACCGGCCATGATCCCTTTTCTCAATGGAATCCAAGAACCCCTGACCTAATTATTAAGCACTCCATTGTTATTGATGAGGGATAGATAAAATGGATAGATCTATTTTGGATCTAAAATCTAATGGATAGATTACCTATCCATAAAATGGACATATAAATTCTTTCCAGGCAGTTTTCTCAAGTCCTTATGTCTCCAGACGCAAAATTCTTGACAGTATTCAGTATAGACCTGGATTCTAAGAGTAGACCCTTTTCTCCTTTAGTCTACTTTTTAACCTGGTTGGAAGACAATTATAATATGTGGGATGCTTCAGGGTAAAATCATACCTGACTTGTCCCTGCCTGCATGACCATAGATAGTATGCATAACTTCTGAGCCTTGGTTTCTTCCTCTGTAAACAAGGATTCAGCCTCTCACAAAGATACTTTAAAATACTAAAGGAGAAAAATGAAGATACAAATATGCAATATGCATTCAATAAATATCTGTTTGGTACATGTAGGTCATAGTGGGGGTCTATGAGTATTTTCTTGGTAAGGAGTAGGCAAGCAAGGACACGTGGAGAATGGAAGGAGTCATTTCAATACTAATAACTTACATATTATCCGAAATATCAGGTATCTACTGATACTGCAGAGAATTGGGGACTTGGGAATCTTTTATTCGGTGCTCCACACATCTTTTGGGCAGTAATTTAATAACCATTTTACATTTTTTTTTTAGTAAGCATTCCAAAACTGAGTAGAACTTATCACTTACTTGATCCAGACACATGCCAGTCTTTACATTCCTGGATGGAAATGTCATTATCTAAACTTATCTTAATTCTTCCACTATGAGCTTTGTTGTCAAATGTTATCTGTGAAGAAATAAAAAAGGTCAAAGATATGTGTACAGTTTTTGAAGCTAAAATACCATGATGTACTGATTGAGAAGCAACTCTTTTGGTACAGGAGACCCAGATTCCCATCTCCAACCTATTGCTACCTTTATTCAACCTTGGGAAGTTTTCCTTATTTCTCTGTGAATTGAGAAGATTGTAGGAGTCTTCTGTAGAGAACTTTTAGTCTCCAAAACCCTGTTCTAGGACAGTACTCCACCCCTGCACACCTTCTGTAACAAGAGTACCTACTCCGTCTACCAGTTCTAAGTCCCTCCAGACACCCTCTTGATGTGGTGAGAGCTGGTGCTGCTATGCTTTACCCTGATTTCCAGCAGGGCCTCAGCTGGGGGTAGATTTTCAGTGCTCCTGCAAGTTTTACTAACACAGGCGCTGCTCATTCTGTCTGGACACATTTCAGGTGGAGCTTTCAAAATGTTCATTCAGGGCCTAGATTATGTGGTCACTCTAGCTTCACATATATTATAAAGGGCTTGGTGACAGGAAGTCGCCAGCCATGTCTTGCTTTCTGGGATAACCAGTAAGACACAGGGCAACAAGCAGAGTGAAGCTATGCTGGAATGCCCCCCACAGGCCTCCTGCTGTCTTCCCCTTCTAGCTGCCTCCTTCTCCCCATGCAGGGAAAAGGGAAGACAAGGCAAGAAAAAAAATCAATCTTGCCCCACAGCACCCCGCTGCCCCTCAGCGGACACACCAACTTCGTTTGTATATGGTGCTGAGGATCGAACCCGGGCTGCACACATGCCAGGCGAGCGCACTACCACTTGAGCCACATCCCCAGCCCCAGAGATTTCAAATGGGTTTAGAATCTTGTCCCTCTGTTTCAAATTACTTATTCAGATGAACAGCTGAAAGAATGAATTGCAAGCTTCTTTCCTCCGTAACAGAGAGCACTGTCACTGACTGTCCTTCATAGTGGCTAGAGGGCCCAGAATAGCCTCATGCAACAAAAATGCTCAGTATTATGTGGCAGAGTCAGAAATCCTTGCCAAGGAGAAAATGCTTTGTTTGAAGAGCATTAGAATCTTATGAATAATAGGTGCTCATTAAATATCTGGAATGAGTAAATCATGATTTAATGTCAATCACATCTCAAATGAGGTTCAGAAGAAGCTGAATGCCTCATACAAAAAAGAAAGATATATTGGATAGAATTAGAAAAGATTAAAAAGCACAGGGAAAAAAATTGGTAAATTTGAAAACACAGCAATAAACACATTCCAAAATGAAAAACACAGAGAATAAATACTGAAACATGAAACAAATAAGCAGAACATTAGCAAAGCTATGGGACAACTTTGAGTGACCAAATATAGATGTAATTGAATTCTCTGAAAGGTGAGGAGAAAATGACAGAAAAATATGGGAAGAAATCATGATGAATAAATATCAAATGCAATAAAAACTACAAATCACCAACCAAAGATGCTCAATGAACCTCAAACATAGGAAACATGAAGAAAATAACCTCAAGGCATTTCACAGCCAAATTGCTTAAATTAAAAAATAAAGAGACAATGTTAAAAAGAGTCCGGGGGGAAAACACATCCTGGTCAGAGAAACAAAGATAAGGATGACAGCAGATTTCTCATCAGAAACAGTATAAGATAGAAGAGTTACATGGAGGGGAAGGACAAGATATCTATATCCAAACTGTATTTTCAAATAAAGTCAAAATACTTATTCAGATGTAAAGCTGAAAGAATTCATCATTAGCTGACCTGGACTGTAAGAAATGTTAAGGGAGGTTGGGGTTGTGGCTCAGTGGTAGAGTGCTTGCCTAGCCCGAGTGAGGCACCACATTAAAAAAAAAAAAAAAACTAAATAAACAAAAGAAAAAAAAACTAAATAAACAAAATAAAGGTATTGTGTCCATCTGCAACTAAAGATATTTTTTTAAAAGAGAAAGAAATGTTAAAGAAAGCCCTTTGTCAGAAGGAAAATGATACCAGATGCAAAACTGTCCTACAAACAAGAATGGAGCACACTGGGAATGGTAGGTACATAAGAAAATATACAGATACTTTTCTTATCATTTTAATCATTTTTTAAAATAATTGGCTATTTAAAGAAAAATAATAATAAGGTATAACCAAAGAGTAACAGGTGAGTGATCTGATCTTGTGAGGTGATAAACTCACATGAGAGCATCTTTCTACAGAGCTTTATAACTCCATAACACATACAGAAATAAATTGTTGTATGAGTTTGTCAAGATGAACCCGACTACCATGTATAACCCTTAAGCTCTAATTTTAAAAAAGGAAAGAAAGAAGCCGTGTGACAACAATAACATAAAAACTAAGATGGGAGATATGCAATCATGATTATAAGGTTCTAATACTACTATTCATGCAGTGATGTAGCATCACTGGAAGGTAGATTTTTAGAGATGTATACTGTAAGCCCCAAAATAAAACATCAAAGAGGTATAACTAAAATGAGAAACGAGATAATAAAAAATACTTAATCAAAAAGAGCAGTGGACTGGGGATGTAGCTCACTGGTAGAGTGCCTGCCTAGTATGTGTGAGGTACTGGGTTTGATCCTCAGCATCACATAAAAACAAACAAATAAAATAAAGGCATTCTGTCCATCTACAACTACAGAATAAAAATTTTTAAAGAGGGCAGAAAAAAATGGAAAACATTAATAACCACAAAAAATTAAATGTCCTAAGCATGTGAATGAAAAGAGATTGTAAGACTGGATAAAAAAGCAAGACACAATTTTATGCCTAACAAGAAACCCACTTTAAATAAAAAGACACAAATAAACTAATATTAAAAAGATAAAAAAAGATTTAGCATGTTAACACTAATCAAAAGAAAGCTGAAGAATAAAGAATGCTATCAAGGTTAAAAACTACTGTTTCATAATGATGAAAGAACTAATTCTTCAAGAGAATATAAGAATCCTAGATATTTATGCCTCTAATAAAGATCTTCAAAGTACATGATGCACAAATCATTAAAGTACTATGCATGATTGAAAATGCGCTGTTTTTTTCCATTATAAATCTAACTGGGGGCACCCACACAAAGGTTTAAAAATAGCTGTTGAAGTCAAGAGCGGTAGCTCCGTGGTAGAGTCCTTCACCTCCCATGGGCAAAGCCCTCTACTGGAACTCCAGAACCACAAAAAAAAAAAAAAAAAAAAAAAAACAAAGGCAATAACAAACACACAGAAAACCAAGAAGAGTAGTTGTTTTCCAGTACATAACAAATACTTAAGTCAGTCCTGTATATATATTATCTCACATCTTGGTGATAATCTTGTCAGTCAGGCAGACATTGATTTTTGTTTTATAGATGAGAAAACTGAGGTGCAAACCACATAAATAATTTGCTTAACATTACATAGCTACTAACTGGTGAGCTGGAATCAGATTTATCTGACTCCAGATCCCCTACATTTTGTGTCAGATATATGCTGTGTAGCCTATGTTTCCTTCCAAGGATACAGGTGCATTAATGGCTTTTATTATTAAATCACTTCATAGGACACAAGCTCTACTGAAGTTCTGTGACATACAATGCTAAATCCACCATAAAGAAGCATAGCTTTAGGATGATCCAACAATAATGTTGAAAATAAAACAAATCTGCCTGTGGCTAAAAATCCAGTTTGCTGATACCACTGAACTGGGCCACTGACAAGGGTCCAGATCTCACTAATATTTCATTTACCTGTCCCACAAATATTTTTGTCACCTTTATTTTTGCTGAGGGATCACAACATTAACAAAATTATTCCTGACTTCAAGAGGCTTTCTACCAGCAGAGTTGATGATAAACACTGAGAAAAATCCTAAAAAGGAGAGGCTGTTAAACCCATATAAAAATCCAAAAAGGAGGTAGGGGGGTGAACAAAAGAGGAAGCCCACAAAACACCTAGGAGTTCAGTGTGTAGAATGTATTTCTAACCAAGGAATCACAAAGAAGTTCACAAAGAAGGTAGAAAAATTAGAAAAGACCTGAAAATTGTCCTTTCTCAAACCCAAGAGAGAAAGAATAAAGAGAGGAGATTGTGAATGATAGCTGAAGTTTAAGAAATCAAGTAATACTGATAATTCATAACTTGCTGATAATATTAAGATCAAAATATGTAGGCTAATTCAAACTAGTCTTATGGTTTTACTGCTTTTTCTTGTTAAATGTCCTGTATAACTATTACATTATATTATATGCTAGATTTTTTTTCTAACCTCAATCTCTGAAAACTTGATTTTTTTTACAATCAATTAGCTGATTATCAGAAGAAGAGCTTTTGATTAAAACGACCATTGAAGTAACAGAAATCTGCATCATATGAAGCTAAGTTGTTTCAAATGCTCTCCTGCTATGACCAAACAGTAGCAGGTGAGTGATCTGATCTTGTGAGCCGATAAACTCACGTGATAGCATTTCTTGCTTGCTAGAGAGCTTTACAGCTCCACCTGCAACTGGAATGCAGACAACATAGAAGTGATAGGGTGGGCGGAAGGAGGAGAGACATTCAGAACATTCAGAGGCAATGTGAGAAAACCACTGTGAGCAATAACTCGAAGGCTAAACTATCCACAATGAGGAAACTCAGTATGGAACCTTGGACACACAACCACACACCTCTTCTCCTTTCATGTATGAACATCAACTCTGTGCCGGACACTATTCTTGGTACTGGAGATAAGACAAGTCCCTGCTGTTACAGAATTTCTCAAGTAGATAATTTATAGCAAAATAGAGCTAGCTGTATCCATGCCCCACTTACGAACATTCATGTGGAAATATTTTGTCATTTTGATCTTGCCTCAATACAAGTATGCGAAGCATATAACTAGATAAAAATGATTTTTTTTCCTCCAGATTGGAACCGAATTCAGTGCACCTCACACTTACAGTCAGAGTAAAATCATAGCAGTCAGGGAGCTCCTGATGACGAACTGTCTGCAGGTTAATGGCTTTCAGTTTAAACTGAAGCTCCACTGTCACCAGTCTAGAAAAGAGAGGAGGCATTGGCTCAGTGGCTCCACACACACAAACAAACACAAGTTACGTTCCTGTCTGTTTCCCTCACCTGTGGAAGTCCAGCGTGAAGTTGAGTTTATTTTCTTCTGATGTTCCAATATGAAAAGCCTCACCCGGTTCTACAAAGAAACATTCTGCCACAGAAAGAAACAAAAACATGACGTAGTGCCTAAAACAGAAAAATAAAACTCCATTTTGAAAGGATAGCCCATTTAAGATCAGTTATTCAGAGCCTCATGTTTTTCTGAATTAAGATTTTGGAAGCTAGACATCAATACCACTTGGTTACAGGGCCTCCTGTGTTTTTAAGACATGAGAGACCACAGCACTTCTGGGTTGGTTGGGAGATGGAGACTCCAACTCCATTTCCTTAGGGTCTTATAGAATGCCCTCTTGCTTCCTTGTCTTTTTAAGCCTAACTCTGAGTGCCTCCCACTTCCTTTTGGTATCCTAAACACAGGATTTGAAGCATTTGCAGTGCTTAAGATTTTCTAAACGGTTTAAAGGCCCTGTTTTTAAAAATATTATGTGTTGACAATTTTTTCTCTATAAGCAATTTTTTAATAAAGAAAAGCATGTTAGCCAGGTTTGGTGGTGTGGCACACACCTATAATCCCAGCAGCTCGGGAGGCTGAGGCAGGAGGTTTGTGAGTTCAAAGCCAACTTTAGCAACATTGAGGGGCTAAGAAACTCAGTGAGACCCTGTATCTAAATAGAATACAAAATAGGGCTGGGGATGTAGCACAGAAAAGTGATTAAACTAAGTGCTCCTGAGTTCACTCCCCAGTACCAAAAAAAGAAAAGCAGCATTTTAGAAAAATTTCAGTAATTGCTACAATTGTCCTTTACTATCCCTCTTAATACAATACATAAAGAGTCTGTGAACCCATGATGTGTTGTAGACATACTACTCATCTCTTTAATTGACTTTTGGGCATGAGAGGTGGTGCAGTATAATGGCCAAGCACAGACCACCTGGGCCAACTTTCAGTGCTGCCTCTTTGTAGCTCCATCATGAGCAGAGCTCTGAACTCTCTGAGCCCTACTTCAACCTTCTATGGGGGATGATAATAAACCTTGCTTTATCTGGGTTTCTGTGAGGATTCATGAGTTGTAGTAAAGGCTTAGAACAGAAGCTGACACAATGACTTCCGTATAATTCTTACTATGCCCTAATAGTGACCATATCAATGTTTTCAGAGATGAAATAAATGATTTTAGGTACAAAGCAAAGAGTTAAAAACTAAACTTCCAGCTTATAGAGGAACATCACCTGTTTCAATTTCGGGATCAATGTCAAAAGTGTCATTTCCAGGACAGATGCTTCCTTGCTTGTAGAAATGCTGACAGATTGCCATAGCAGACTGCTTGGTCCCCTTGTTCTCATAAGCGTGATTCCCAACTGAAATGTTGCGAAGCTCCAAGTACTGTGTCCAAAAAGAAATAGAAAGCGGCATGCCAGCCAGGGCAGAGGTGAGCCATGATGTCCCTCCCTCCCCAGCTCTGGCAGGTTCCCACCTCCCCTCAGGGCAGAGATACTAATATGCAGAGTAAGTGGGCTTGCTGCTGAGCACCTGGAAGGCTAAGGGCAAAGAGCACCCTTGAACTTGAATTCTGGTTTCAAGACTTATCTCTGTCTGTCACACGGTTTTCTGAGCTCTGGTTCCTTATCTGCAAAACTAAAGTCTGAAACCACACCATCTTTGAGGTTCTTTCCTTCCTTAAAGAATTATGTCCAGAGACTGATTGTTACAGTCAGTCTGAGTAAAAATGTTGTTTATCTTTGAAATATTTCCTACAAGATCCGAGTTCTACTTAGAACTATAATAGAAATGGGATACACCTGTTCCCAGATCACCACTTAAACTTTTTCTTTTAAAAAACGGAACTTAATCTTTATAATACAGTTTAATCACTTTCTTGGAAATGTTTCCCTTGTTTCAGTGAGTCCTCTAAATAAAACAAAAGAGTACTTTTACAAAGGAGAATCCTATGGTACCTTGAAATAATTGCAATGTACACCTGATGGATTTCTGTAGATGGTTCCAGAGCTTACCCCGAGCAATACGTTTAGCACGATTGGTGATATAAAGATAGGTAGGTGATACCTGTCTCTCCTGGAATTAACAAATTTGTACGATGGACACAGAACAATAATTCTACAAAAGATGCATGGGAAACATGCCTTGATAAATGAAGGAAATAATTTATAATATGGGCCTATGTGGTACACTCCAAGCTGGGCCTTGCCAAGGTCACCACTGAGCAGCATGTTACCAAATCTATGCTTCGTTCTTGGTCTTCATCTAACTTCATTGTGTTTGATGTGAGATGAGTGTGTGGTTGGAAGGCAGTACCCTGGGGAACTTCACTGCAAAGGGCACTTAAGTGGCTGTGGCCTCTGTGGGACTTTAATCAGGCTGGATATCTGTCCCTCTGGCCTCTGCAGCCTTGAGAGGAAATTATTACTCAGATGCAAGGTCCCAAATTATCCTTTGGATGATTATATACAAACAAAATTAAAAGCTGAGTAGAGACGTGGCACCAAAAGCAAAGAAAATCAAAACTGATTGCTCCTGATTATAGAATGCTTGTTTGTGACCCTTCTATGATCTCCAGATCCAACCACCTATAATGAGTCTTATGAGCTCGTTCGCAAACATCTGAGCTCCTGTTCTGTAACTCTCCTTTTGTGGAGTAAAACCACAAAAGAATAAAAACACAATTCTGGGTTGCTGCACACTGCTTATGGAGCTATAGACATATTTATAAAGATAGTCTATATGTTTCTATCTTTAAATCTATATCGTGAGAAATATTATGCAATCAGTTCTGTGATTCTAGGTGAATAGTTTAGAAAATAAACAAGAAATGGTAGAACAGGTGAGTTCTGTTGAGTGGGGGAAAAAAGGGAGGTGAACCAGACACAGGAATGTATACAGTATGAGTTAAAAGAATAAAAGATTCCAAGAAGAACTTGAGACCTTTACACCTAAGCAACTGGCCCAAAAGAGGCAGCAGTCTGGGGAGCAGGTGGAAGAGAACTCAAAGCAACTGTGGACTGGCAGCTCTGAGGAACAGCACAAAGCACAGTCAGCATCGGATTGGGAGTCACCTCATCCTCGCGCTGGCCAAAAGCTGGGTGGTGTGTGTGTGTGTGTGGGGGGAGTTTCTTCAGGAAAAAGACAAATCTTTGAGAATTGTCCAAATTTAAAGGGCAAATGAAAGAAAAGAAGTCAGTGAAGATGACTCAAAAATGACTGAGGAAGTAAAATGAAAGCCAGGACCCAGCATTAAAACAAAATAACTAGGTCTTTGACACTCAAATGTAGAAGCACAGGTAAAACATGAAAAGCATAGTCAAATGTGAAACTGTTAAAATTGCAATATTCGATTAGGATGAGCCCTGGTGGTTATCCAGGTAGATGCCATCTGCGGACTAAGCCCTTCAGCATGAAAGATTAGTTTTGGAAATGCCTCCAGTGACTGAGGTGGCACTCTCACCTGACAGTTCCCTTTGGTGACTATCACCTCTACTGTCCAGACATGTCCTCACAGAAAACAAGGACCCTCCCTGCCTTGATATCTATCCTATTTCCAACTCCACAGATACATGTGGAATAACTCATCTCTTAACCACAAAAATCCTATTTGCTCATAAAAATAGATAGTATTCATTCTCAGCTAAAAGTACCTAATGGTGCTTGGAAGATAGCTGGGACTCACCTGCCCAAAGAAAATCACCATGGTTAGTATTATTTATTGACATACTAGTGCAGTGGTTTGAATGTATTATCATCCTCTTAAATTCTTACGTTAGAAATTAAACCACAATATAGAGGTGAGACTTTTAGGAAGTGATTAGGAAGGAGAAGCCCTTATGAATGGGATTGAGAACATTATAAAAGGACTAAAAGTAAGATAGGTCCTTTAGCCCTTCCACCATGTGAGAACACAGCCTTCAGATGCCTTGGTCTTAGATTTTCTAGCCTAAGAACTGTACGAAATGGATTTCTGTTGTCTATAAGTTACCGAGTCTCAGGTATTTTATTATAGTATCAAGAATAGACCAACTAGGATGCAACTAGGATAAAGAATCTATATGGATTTTTACATTTAAATAACATGGAGATCTGAGAAGCAGAATGACCTGAATGCCAAATATTGTATTTTGAAGATTGATTTTAGGCCTGTCAATAACAGTAAAGATGTTTTATAAAAAATTTTAATGGACTGTTTCTCTCTTGCCTCTATTTAACACCCCCCCCAAAAAAAAGAAAAAATACCAATTTGGTGCTGAGTACCTTAGAGAAATTCAATACACTTAAAATGAAAATCTTAAAACCAAGTCTCTTCAAAATACAGTGCCCTTTCTTGTTCAAAACACTAGAAAAACTAGGAATAGTAGGAACATACCTCAATTTTGTAAAAGCTCTCTATGCTAAACCCAAGGCCAATATCATTCTAAATGGAGAAAAATGGAAGCATTCTCTCTGAAAACTGGAACAAGACAGGGATGCCCTCTTTCACCACTTCTATTCAACATAGTCCTTGAAACTCTAGCCAGAGCAATTAGACAGATGAAAAAAATTAAAAGTGTACAAATAGGAAAAGAAGAATCAAACTATCACTCTTTGCTGATTCTATACTTAGAGGATCAAAAAAAAAAAAAACCACCAGAAAACTTCTAGAATTATAAATGAATTCAGCAAAGTAGCAGGATATATAAAATCAACACCCATAAATCAAATGCATTCTTACACATCAGTGATGGATCCTCTGAAAGAGAAATTAGGAAAACTACCCCATTCACAATAGCCTCAAAAATAAAATACTTGGGAATCAACTTAACAATAGATGTGAAAGACCTCTACAATGAAAACTACAGAACACTAAAGAAAGAAACTGAAGAAGACCTTAGAAATGGAAAGATATCCCATGCTCTTGGATAGCAAAATTAATACAGTCAAAATGGCCATAGTACCCAAAGTGCTATACAGATTCAACGTGATTCCAATTATAATTCCAATGTCATTCCTTATAGAAATAGAAAAAGCAATCATGAAATTCATTTGGAAAACTAAGAGACCAGAATAGCCAAAGCGATCCTTAGCAAGAAGAGTGAAGCAGGAAGCATCACAATACCAGACCTTAAACTATACTCCAAAGCTATAGTAACAAAAATGGCATGGTATTGGCACCAAAACAGACATGTAGACCAATGGTACAGAATAGAAGACACAGAGACAAACCCATATAAATACAGTTATCTCACACTAGACAAAGGAGCTGAAAACATACATTGGCAAAAAGATAACCTCTTCAACAAATGGTGCTAGGAGAACTGGAAATCCATCTGCAGCAAAATTAAATTAAACCCTTACCTCTCACCATGCACAAAACTCAACTCAAAGTGGATCAAGGACCTAGGAATTAGACCAGAAATCCTGTGCCTAATAGAGGAAAAAGTAGGCCCAACTCTTCATCACATCAGATTAGGCCCCAACTTCCTTAACAAGACTCCCAAAGCACAAGAAATAAAATCAAGAATTAATAAATGGGATAGATAGATTCAAACTAAGAAGCTTCTTCTCAGCAAAAGAAACAAGTAAGATGAAGAGAGAGCCTACATCTTGAGAGCAAATTTTTGCCATAAGCATGTCAGATAGAGCACTAATCTTCAGGATATATGAAGAACTCAAAAAACTTAACACCAAAAAAACTAAACTACCCAATTAATAAATAGGCTAAGGCGATGAACAGATACTTATCAGAAGAAGATATACAACCAATCAACAAATGTATATGAAAACTTGTTCAACATCTCTAGTAAATAGAGAAATGCAAATCAAAACTACTCTAAGATTTCATCTCACTCCAGTCAGAATGGCAGTTATCAATAATATAAACAACAATAAGCGTTGGCAAGGATATGGGGAGAAAAGGCACACTCATACATTGCTGGTGGAATTGCAGATTGGTGCAGTCAATCTGGAAAGCAGTATGGAGATTCCTTAGAAAACTTGGAATGGAACCACCATTTGACCCAGCTATCGCACTCCTTGGTCTATACCCAAAGGACTTAAAACCAGCATACTTATAGCAGCACAATTCACAATTGCTAAACTGTAGAAGCAACCTACATGTACTTCAATAGATGAATGGATAAAGAATATGTGGCATGTATACATAATGGAGTATTACTCAACATTATAAGAGAATAAAATTATAGCATTTGCAGGAAAATGGATGGAGTTAGAGAATGTCATGCTAAGTGGAGTTATTAGCCAATCCCCAAAAAACCAAAGGTTGAATGGTCCCTCTGATAAGTGGATGCTGATCCCAAATGGACAGAGGCATGGGAAAAATGGAGGAACTTTGAATTGAGCAAAGGGGAGGGAGAAGGGGGGGGAGGTATTGGGGCAGAAAAGATGGTAGAATGTGATAGACATTATTACCCTAGGTACATGTATGACTACACATATAGTGCAACACTACATTGTATACAGAGAAATGAAAAGTTGTGCTGCAATTGTGTACAATGAATAAATATGTATTCTGCTATCATATATACCTAATTAAAATAAATAAATAAAAAGAAAAATGGAAAAAACTAATCTCTTGAGCATTATGCTATTTCCTCTCTACAAATTGTAGGACGTAATTTTGTTTAACAATTTATGCAACTTATTTCTATCACTAATTTTACTACTCCCAATGCTAACCAAAATCTTAATGCCATAAAGACATATTTAAGTCTAACAATTTTTCATCACACAGTGCATAGATTGTCTCTAGAAAATGAAGAGTCGAAATCATACTAAAATAATGTTTTGAAGAAGAGTTGTAATAATTATGAAACATTGTCTATAAGCTAACCCAGGTTGGAAATACCAACTTCAAGAACACTTTCAGCTCCAAAATAAGATATTTGGGATTTTGCAAAAGTACTATTTCTAGAAAAAAAATTGATTATAGACTCACCAGTATCAAAAACAATTTTATTTTTTGTTTGACAGGTAGTCACTAGCACAATAAAATCATTGTAATATATGACATTAAAGCCTTACTTTATTTTAAATGAACTTTCAGATCTTGATTGCTATATAAACTCTGCAAAGTTAATAATCTCACTATTTGTTGAGGCCCTCTGCAAACAGGAGCTCTGAAGACTTAATGAAAACTTTAATCAGGGTCATGGTTAATCATTTAAAATCTTTGAAATTCCCATGCCAAGCCCTATCTCTGAAGCTTTTAATTAAGTCGTTAAAGTATCTATTTCTGTTAGTGCTAAACAAAAGCTTTTCTCAAATGCTAGTTTTATAAATGTTTATTGGCAATGTTTTGTAAAAGACAATTTTAAAATGACCTTATACATAGACATTTCTACCTGAAACTATTCCCATTCTGTCCTTGAGGGTCAGTTTCTATGACTGCTACCATTTTCCCAGTCTTTTCCTTTCCCTCATTGACTTACCCGATTCATTGCAAAGGTGATCTGATCATACACATCATTTTGTGTGTACACTGCATACGTGTCATCCATTCGGTCCATATAGCCTTTTAGGAAGAGGTGTTTAAATGCTATAGTGTTCTCTTCTTTAAAAGTTACCACCATCTGGTTACTTAGTCCAAAAAGGACCAGCTTAAAAGAAAAAAGAAACAGTAAGCAGGGGAAAAATCTGAAAAGAAAAAGTGGAGGTAGATGGTACAGAGGCTTGAACAGCAAAGGAGAGTTTCCATGAATTCCATAGGATACCAAGGAGGTTTGCAGCTGCTGGATACTGCATGGTAAGAAAGTCCAATTCCCATGGCCAAACTATATTCCTAGACCTCGTTTCCAAAATGGTAACAATAAGATTAAAATTTAAAAATATCCTTTCAACTCATCTCTAAGTTAAAGTATATTAATATAATGTGTTCTTAATATTTAGGCAGGATTGACTCCAGAGTTTCACATGAAACTCAATTGTTCACCCACAAAAATCTGTTTCACTGCTCTGCTGCCATAGTAACAGAAACTCTTTCAATCATACCCCAAAGCTTGCTTTACTCTTTCATCTTTTCTTCTCTCCCAAACTATTTCAATATCTACTCTATTCTCCTTCTCCCCTTGCCTCCCCATTTAGAAAGTGTACTCTGAGCCAGCATAGTGGCATGTTCTATAATCAAAGCAACTCAGGAGGCTGAGGAAGGAGGATCAAAAGTTCAAGGCCAGCCTCAGTAACTTAGCAACCTGTCTGAAAGGACTGGGGATGTGTGGCTCAGTAAAGCACCCCTGGGTTCAATCCTCAGTATCAAAAAAAGACTTAGATCCCAGGGTGAGTCGGGGCATATTTTATATGAAAGGGGGAGCAACACTGAGCACCGATGTGCCATAAATTATTCCAGGAACTTTCCTCATATTTATTAACCAATCCCTCAGCATGGTCCCTAATATAACAAATTTACAAATTAGTGCATAAAGGATCAGAGAAGTTAAACAACTTTTTCAAGTCACAACATTAGCAAGTGTTCAATCAAAATTAGAACCCATACCCAGGAGACTAAAAATCTAAGCTCTCTCCACCCTATTACACTATGCAAAGCAATGCAGTGCTCCATCAGCAAAGAAACTGAGAAATCTTTCCCCTTCTTCCTCTCATTAGGATGTCTGACCAACACCACATATTCATCCTCTCCTAGCCTAACTTGGCTCCCATTCCTCAGAACCCTCTTTAAGCCAAATGTCCTCATTCAAATTCCAATAAGATAATAGTTTGATGACCAAAAAAGTCTCCAAAGATTTCCCAGGATATTCTTAGCAATTCATTCAAATACATGAATACCTTCTATATGCCAGTACTGAGCTGGGTGCTGAGGACATAATGAGGTCATTGCCCTGAAGGGCCTGGTGACAGATAAGAGTAAGAGTGACTGAGATAACTATTATAATTCAGAGAGTGAGCCAGGTAGAGGGAAAGGATATTTCTTAGGAGGTTGCCTGTCATTGTAGATATTTTTCTTCTATTGCTACAAACACAAACATCTTCAACTTAACAGAAAGACTTCTTTTTTTATAAAAAGAGATAAACTGTCACCATGTCACCCTCATTTGCTCAGTGACAAAGTTGCCTTTATGTGATATTTGTTTGATTGCTCAAGTACTAGTAAAGAAACATTACAATAAAGAAACTCTGAGTTTCTTGTTAAAAGCTCACCTAAACACCTTTTACATGCTTATTACCAACAGGCTTAAACCACTGGCCAGTTTTTCTTGTTGACCACTCTACTAATTATAAGAAGGTTAGATGGTCTCCCTAAAAGATTAAAGTGCATTGAGAACCTCAGAGTTAGAGGATATAAACCTGAGTTTGAATCTCAGTTCTATTCTTCCAGTTTCCTGACTATGACATGTTATTTTGTCACACCAAGCCTCAGTGCCCTGTGTGTAAAATAGAGATCCCATTACCCACCTCCAATTTGTTTTGAAAATTGAACATGATGATGTATTCTATAAAACTATTTAGTCTGGTCTACAGAAAATTCTTAGGGTGGTATTTCAAGCAATAATACTTTCATTTAGTTGATACATAGTCCCCTGTATACAAGACAACACAGATAAACTTTATTGTGACACATTGTTTTAGCACCTGGAAATTAAGATGTTCAATTCAAAGTTGACAAATACTATACTGAGAGTCCAGCATCTGTTTTGAGAGTGATATATTAGAGAGAGAGAGTACAACTGCTTCCGAAGTCTTGATTCTGCCACTGACTAGCCATGTTGGCTTTTTAAAAACTATAAACAGCAGTCTTCTTTTCTGCAATATGAGTAATGCTAGTATTTTATTAATTTTAAATAAAATGGTTTTGTTAGAATTAAGTAAAGTAATATACTAGAACAGAGTATCATCCAAATGTTCATTTCCCTTAACATAACTTCTGTTATTAGAAACACATGCAAGCATTCTACCAACTTCATAGGATTATAGGAATTACCCTTGGTGTCTCCCAGTTACAAAGCAATTAAAATTAAAAATGTCAGGATTTTATTTTTTCACAAATCTCTCTTTTAAAGAGAGAGTTGTCCATCAAAAAGAGAAAGCAAAAATTAACAAAAGAAAAAAAAAAACCCTATCATTTACTTTCACCATTAACATCTGCTTGTTTTGTTTTTCTTCCTTCCTTTCTCCAACCCCCCCACTCCCTGCCGTATGGTTTTTAACAAGAGATAATTACTCTCATCAGAAGGAAAACATATTTTCAAAAGAATGAATCACAACTGCTATATATAGGCATCACAAAATATGGTTTTCAAATAAATTTTAAAGATGTCAAGGTAATTAGATTCAAAATTTCCCTATTAATTAAAATGGTTCCATCTCTCACTGGCTAATGACAATTTTCATTTAACTTCACATTCTCCCTCTGCATAGTTCTCATGGTCACAGGGCTGTGAGAATCCAAGAACTTGCCTTTAGCAGAAACCCATGACATTTTTTAAGAGAGACAAATGTCCAGAAAACCAACTAGGAAGGAAAAGGAAGTCCTTCTGTTAGGCGATGTCTAGTTTCCATGGCTGATTTAGAAATCACCCCACAAACACAGACACATACACATACTATTAAACCTATTGATTGGAATCCAAATATTAAAATTGTCAATCCCTGAAAATCAATTAGATCTATGGCTAAAATTACAGTTTAATGAAAGATGAAAAGAAAAAAAAAGTAAAAGAAAAAAAAAGCCAAAGCTTTTCACTAATTTTAAGGAGAAAAAGGTTGAGATCCTATGTTTCCTTATTTATTATTCTCCATTATGCATGAATTTACAAATTATTTTCCATTGTTCTCTTGCTATTTAAAGACACTTTTACCAAACTCACTCCTGTGATCTGAGCTGCTTACCTGGATAGTCACCATTGCAATTTTTAGAATTTGTATGGCAAGTTTCCATGGCTTTCTACCTCGAGCCCAGAACTTCTCACAAGGATTCATGAAAAAGAATTTGAGTTTTCGCCTCATCTGGTCTTCTAACAGAAGCTTCTCAGATGGAGATGTTTGCTGGTTAAAGGTGCAGCGATTTTCCTCTTCATGAGAGGTGGAGCTACTTATACCTATCTCAGGATTTGCCATCTCTAGGGAAGAAGAAAAACATGAGCTCTAGTAGGTGAATGAAGGCACAAGTCCATGTTGCTTGAGAGTTCAGGTTAGTTCAGGAAGAAGTCCAAACACAGGTATGGTATCAAATAAGCACAATTATTCTAAACTGCACTATTATATGCTTATAGAATCAATTAAAATGTAAGACATCACATTCTCCATTTATTTCTATTACTAAGGGAATTTCCACCTTGTTGAAAGTTATCAAATTCAAGAGCTGCTCCTATCAGTAAAAGAGTATATGCATGTATTATGTATTGTGTGTGTGTGTGTGTACACATAGATAGATATATGCTCTCTATCTCATTAGAGCAAAGATTGGAGACCTAAGATTCTGGGTAAGAACTTCACAGGGCTGGGGATCCAAGATGGCGGGCCAGAGGGAGGCATCATTCTGTGTCATCCATGACCTGGGTCTCAACTAGTGGGAATACTGCTTTGCTGAGAGTGGTAGAGGACCCCTCCACAGCTGATCCCGCACAGGAATCACAGCAACTGTGCTGCACAGGGCCCAGGCCCTCAGAGTTAGAAAAGGACTTCCAAGTACTGGCCCATACAAATCTTGCAGGTGCCTGAGCAGAACCACCAGCATAGGCACCACCCCCACAAAGGACACTCAGCCGCTACCCACATGCAGGAACTCTGGCCACCACTCCATGTGGACCCCCATCTACTAATGTGGGGCTCCCCCAGTCGCCTCCATCTTGGGATTTAGCAGCTAGTGCCATAGTCCCCTACTCAAGGTACCCTGCCTGCACCCGGGGACATCACAGGCTCTGAAGAAAGCTGATAGCCACAACTCTGCATGCCACAGCCATCACCTGGATCCCCCCATGGCTGAAAGCAGCAGCCTCCATGTTGGGTCACCTCCATCACCATCTTTACCAGTTTGAAACACCCAATAGCCAGGTACCCATAGTTTTCTAATTCCTCCCAATCCCCAGCAGCCTCTAACTCAGCAGAGTGAATGCTCAATTCAAAACAGCCCTCTGTGATAGGTGCACAGCCACCAGAGTGCAACACACAAGACCCCCAGAGAGAAAAGTTCCTGATTAGGAAGTAGAAAGGGAGAGGAGGAGGGAGATACACTTTAGAGACTAATTTAGGTTGCAGGAACTGTGAGGTCCACGTGAGATGAGGAGACCCGGTGCCCTCATCACAGAAGCAGACTTCAAAGGAGATCCTTGAGGTACAGTCTCCCAACAGGATGATGGTGTTATACCCCACTTCCAGGTACCCTGTACCCAAGACCAACCCTCACACCCTGGTAATCCCCACCATCCTGAGGGTGGAGATACCAACTAAGAACAGAAATCCCCACCTATTGGATGAGAAAGAAAGCAGGACTAATCTCCAACCAAAATAATCCTGGTTTCTTCCTTTGAGATTTTTTTTCTTTCTTCTTCCCCTTTATTCTCCCACCCTCACTTCCCCTTTATTCTCCCACCCTCACATATGAGAAACCAAGTATTTTGCATGAATTAGGATATTGAGAACTGAGACAACTGAATAGTTTATTACAGTTGTATTGTATATTCTTTTTTCCACCAATTTTTACTATTTTAACATTTTTTAATTTTTCTTAATATATATGTGTATTTGTCTTAGGCACTCTATTGACTTGTCTACCCCAAATTATTACCTCTCTATTCTCCTGTTACTAATCTTCTTCTTTAGATTTCTCTTTCACACTTCCTAAGGTATAATAACTCTGTATCCTCATCTCATACCTCCTCAGCATATCTCCCTATACCTCACCCCTGGTTCTTTGTCCACCATTAGAAACTGTAAAGCTTTTTACAAACCTACTGATTATATTGTTGATAATAATTGAATTCACTATTTCTGTACATTGTGACCAAACTTTAATGTCTTAATAACAACTATTTGTTTTTAGATGGTATTTCGTGGATATTGGGATCTGTTAACATTGTCCTTCCCCTCAAAGGTGAGGTATTGGAACCCTACAGGGGAGGTATAAGTCTAAAGGTAAAAACAATAATGCCTCGGATCAACAGAGCTAGAAAGGAAGCAATATGAAAAGACAAGGGAAGAAAGTGCCCCAAACAAATTAAGATACCACATTACTAGAATCCATGGCCAGCACAGCAGATGAAATTACAGATAAGGATTTCAGAATGAACATAATCAAAATTTTCTGTGAAATAAAGGATGATATAAGAGAGCAAATACAGGCAGCAAAAGATCATTTCGACTAAGAGCTACATAAGGAAATACAAGAAGCAAAAGATTACTTCAATATGGTGATAGAGGTTCTAAAGAAAAAACAAACAGAAATCCTTAAAATAAAAGAAACAATAAACAAAATTAAAAGCTCAATTGAAAGCATCACCAACAGATTAGACCACTTGGAAGATAGGACCTCAGATAATGAAGACAAAATATATAAAAGAATGTAGACTACACAGTGAAAATGGTAAGAAATCATGAGCAGAACATTCAAGAAATATGGGATAGCATAAAAAGACCAAATTTAAGAGTAACTGGGATAGAGGAAGGCATAGAGTTCCTAACCTAAGGAATGAAGAATCTATTCAATGAAATAATATCAGAAAATTTTCCAAACACGAACAAATTAGAAAACCAAATTCAAGAGGCTTACAAGATACCAATGTACAAAATCCATACCAAGGCACATTATAATGAAAATGCCTAACATATAGAATAAGGATATAATATTAAAAATCATGAGAAAAAAATCAGATTACATATAGGGGGAAACCAGTTAGGTTATATGCAGATTTTTTAACCCAGACCCTGAAAGCTAAAAGACCCTAGAACAATATATATCAAGCTCTGAAAGAAAATGGATGCCAACCAAAAAAAAAAATTTGTATCCAACAAAATTAAGCTTTAGATTTGATAATGAAATAAAAACTTTCCATGATAAACAAAAGTTAAAAGAATTTTTTTATTGGTTAATAAAAACATTACAAAGATTGCAGAATCACATCGGTTACACATCCACATTTTTACATAATGCCACAATAGTAACTGTTGTATTCTGCTACCTTTCCTATCC